ATGCTGATTGGCCAAGAGGCAGGTCATTACACGCGGTCCAGCTTCCTAGCTCCCTAGACCACTGACAGGCTGAACTATACCAATACTTTCTGTACCCCTTCCAGCTTTCTATCCATGTACATACGATTGCCTCAGCACCAACAGACCATAGGTTCTAAATTAAAGGTTTGTGGGTTACCGTTAGAGTGTCAAAATTAGTTTTTTGCAAAATCCAAATAATTTACATCTACTGTGTTACCTCTGTGCTGGGCACTTCATCCTCAGTAAAGCTCAGTAACAATGACTGATAAAATCATGGGCTCAGCAATACTGAGCCCTCCCCCTGGTCACTGCACATGTCGCACAGATACAGGCAGCAGCCAAGAGCTTACACTGTGGGTGGGCAGAGCCTGATGGAGATGCTGCAGTACTAGTTCCCCATCAGGTTGGATCTGCTACTGAGTAACAATAGGCAGTGGGTGAATTCCATAGGTGATAGCAGGCTGGTTATTGGCTTTAGAACCCGTCCACTGCCTTCAATGGATCAGTACTAGACAGGCCTGATGGGGAACTAGAATCTCGGAGATCATCAGGCTCCACCCCCTCTGTCAGCGTAACTGGTTGTTAAGCACACTGTTGGCTACAGTCGACAGCGTCCTTAACAACCATTGATGCTACAAGTGGACAGAGGTGCCAAGGGACTGTTTTCCCATATGCCGACAGTAGGCTGGCTATTGGTTATAGAATCCGCCCACTGACTGCTGTCAATCAGTAGAAGAGCAAGCCTGATGAGAACTAGGCTCTCAGAGTTCCCCATCAGGCTCTGCTGCCAGTGTCAGCGTCATTGGTTGTTAAGGAACCTGCCTACACTCTGCTGTCAGCCACAAGGGAAGTGGACCTGATGGGGAACTAGTCCCTCAGATTCACCATCAGGTTCCGTCCACTCAGTGAAGTCTTTGGTTGCTAAAAGGCTGTTGGCTATGTAGTCAACAGTGTATTAGCAACCAGTGACTCATCCCTGGTCCCATTTAGCTGTGAGTTGGATGTAAACTAAGGAGCCCCAGCAGGCAGCTGAATGTGAACAATGGGGCAGGGGATGCTGGGGGACGTCATGATATCAGCTAGCATACCTGGCCCTTTTGTTTAAATTCAGCTACCGAAACTGGCATTAGGGCTGTTCTGAAATTAATGCAGGACCTTTTAACCATCCATAGTGTCACAAAAATGGTGCTAAGTCTTTATTGAATTCCCCCCATGTCCTGCTACATTTCTCTATGACATGGCAACGCAGTTTATTATGCATATTAGCAACACAATTAGTCATAAATCAGGTTGCCTTGATCATTCTGAAGTCTCTGAGAGAAATGTACTTTGCGGCCTGTGTGCCTCTCTTCCTGGACAACCCAGTGCAACAGATCTAGCCCCTGAGATGAGACAGATTTTCCCTCCGAACAGACGCATCACTTAGAAGTGGTCGGGGTTGGGTTTTATAAGTAGAGTTACTTTTGAGCGGCTGAGGGGAGATTTTAGAACTTAACCTGTAACCTTGTAGTAAATCTGTTGCACGATACGTCTCACTGCCTCAGTTCAGCATCGCCTTCCTGTGAGACATAATTGATAAATGTTCCCCTATGTTCTTGTAAAATTCCACTCTTCTCACAGTCACATGGCCGCTTCTTCCTGGGTCTGCCAAAGGAACACTGAACAGAACAAAAAAACGGAAAACAATCCCCCCTCCTCCCCGCCCTTCCCTCCCGTCCAAATAATCGCTTCCTAAATTTGGGACTGGGGAGAAGTACGGCATTTAACCGTCTGCTGTGTAAGGAAATGTAGCCCTGCAGGTAGATGGGGCTTGATGTCATGACGCAGAGCTTGAAGGGTTGCCTAGCAACAGTGAAAGTCAGTAATTCACCGCCAATGAGTCACATTGCCATTCAAGTCACTTTCCAAATTGATGTGATTCTCTTTCCGCTGTGATATATTTTAAGTCACAAGCAGGTTTACAGTACATTTAGGGAGGTTTTGACCTAAAATATACAGATCTGGCTTTGTCACGTTGTGTTTAAAGGGGACCTCTTGGCTGCAATGGGTTATTAAATAAGTGAAAAAGCTAACACTCTTCCTGCCATGCCATCTGCAATCATATATCTAACAGAAAATCATATAACAAATTCTGCAGTGCACATACCATCATAGCCCCCATATATATATTAAACATTAAAGTGCATATACACTAAATTGTCAAAAGTATTGGGACACCCCTCAACCCCCAAATCATTGGATTCAGGTGTTCCGGGAAATTTCCTTGCTACTAAATATTCCACGGTCACCTGTTAGTGGTAATATAACAAAGGGGTAGCAACTGGGAACAACAGCATCTCAGCCACGAAGTGGTAGGCCACGTAAACTGACAGAGCTGGGTCAGTGCATGGTGAAGCGCTCAGTGCGCAGAAGCTGCCAACTGTCTGCAGAGTCAATAGCTACAGACCTCCAAACTTTGTGTGGCCTTCAGATTGGCACAACAACAGTGCATAGAGAGCTTCATGGAATGGGTTTCCATGGCTGAGCAGCTGCATCCGAGCCTTACATCACCAAGTGCACTGCAAAGCGTGGGATGCCGTGGTGTAAAGCACGCCGCCACTGGACTCTAGAGAAGTGGAGACGTGTTCTCTGGAGTGACCAATCACGCTTCTCTGTCTGGCAATCCGATGGAGGTGTCTGGGTTTGGCGGTTGCCAGGAGAACGGTACTTGCCCGACTGCCCGACTGCATTGTGCCAAGTGTAAAGTTTGGTGGAGGGGGAATTATGGTGTGGGGTTGTTTTTCAGGGCTTGGGCTTGGCCCCTTAGTTCCAGTGAAGGGAACTCTTAAGGCATCAGCATAACAGGACATTTTGGACAATTTCATGCTCCCAACTTTGTGGGAACAGTTTGGGGGTGGCCCATTCCTGTTACAACATGACTGCGCACCAGTGCACAAAGCACGGTCCATAAAGACATGGATGAGCGAGTTTGGGGTAGAGGAACTTGACTGGCCTGCACAGAGTCCTGACCTCAACCCGATAGAACACCTTTGGGATGAATTAGAGCGGAGACTGCGAGCCCGGCCTTCTCCTCCAACATCAGTACCTGACCTCACAAATGGTCCAACATTCCCATAGACACAGTCCTAAACCTCGTGGACGCCTTCGCAGAAGAGTTGAAGCTGTTATAGCTGCAAAGGGCGGGTCAACTCAATATTGAACCCTACTGACTAAGACTGGGATGCCATTAAAGTGCATGTGCATGTAAAGGCCGGCGTCCCAATACTTTTGGCAACATAGAGTATCTGTCCTAAATTCTACAATCCCACAAATACATACTGCTGCGTGTACTGTATATCTATGACAAAGGGCATACAAAGGAAAAGTGTCTTTAGTGAAGATCTCTTATCAGGGGCGTCCCCAGGCTGGGTGAAACCCGGAGCAGTAGCCGAGTGTCACCTCGCCGATGACGTCATCGCGCACGCGCGGCAGTCTTCTGATCACTTCTAACTCCGCCCAAATGATTATATGTTGCCGGCACCTGTCAAAATGCCATTCTGCGTCACGTGTTCGTTGCAGTGGACGGAATAGTGGTCGTCAGGTTTTTTTCTCCCCAATTATTTCTATTTATTTTTGATTGTTTTATTTTTTATTTCGTCGAGTCGTCGTCGTAGACAACGCTGGACGCCATGATTGATGTTGGATTAAATCGGTGGATCAATTTTTTTTTAAATAAAAGACTTGTCAAAAACGTGTCTTTTGTTCTGTTTTTTTTCAAATAAAGGATTTTTTCAAATCGTGGCCTCTTTTTTAAAACTTATTTAACCCTTTCGTGAATGGGTAGGGGTACAAGTACCCCTTACTCATTCACAAGGGGGGGCTGCATCTGGGTGCCCTTTATTTAAGGGATACCCTGATATGAATAAGCCCCCCTCCCCGCACCCCCATAACCAAAGCCCCAGGGCTTGTGGGGAAGGGGCCCTGGTCCCCATTGGCATGGGGACAAGGTGCTTTTCCAGGGGCGACCCACTGCATATACCAGAGCGAGAGCAATCATTCTTGGGACAATATTCGCGGCTAACCCTAAATTCATGACCTGTACGGGCTTTTAAAGCGTCGCCTGTGGACAATTTGGGGTACCATAGTCTTTTGCTATTTCACGGGCGCACGCAATTTTGAAGCTTGGCATGTTGGTTATCTATTCACTCGGCACAACCTCATCATTTATATTTTACAAACACATTGGGTATTATATTGTGTTTTTGTACACTGGAATTAACTTGAGTGTATGCTTCACTGAAATTTTGGGTTTGACAAAGAGTTACGCTAATAATATAATACGTGACATAAAAATTTGCAACTGCCTCCATTTTATTCCGCAGGGTCTCTGCTTTCAGGAAAATATATAATAGAATTATAAATATATAATTAAAAATCTGAATTATAAAATGTTGGCAAAATAAAAAAATTCCTCTGACAGAGAAAGGGTTAAAAACATTTGCAGGTCACCCATTTTGGGTTAGCCGTGAATAATGGCCCCAGAATGGTTGCTCTCACTGATTGCTTTGGGGCCGATAGTCAATACATATGTTGGGTATGTGTGCGCCCAAAAACAAGAGCATTTGCGTTCGTATGTGTGTTTACTGGGGCTGTTGAAAATGTTGTTATTTATTTTATTACATTTTATATTTTTGAACTTTATCGACATATTTTACTACTATCACAAGGGGAGCATCTTCATGCAGATGTAGATGTTTTACAGGCACATGAACCAGTTTTAAACACAGACAAGTGTAGAAAGTTCCCAAGTTCCCCAGCCATGATTGACTGATTTTTTATTTCATCATCACATGAATGAATCTTTCTCTCTGGATTGCCTGGGTGACAGGTCCGCTTTGCACTACACATGACGCTGCATCGATGACAGGCAGCCTCCAGCAGATGGCGCTGCGCACCTCAGCCGGTCCCCGTGACGTCACTGCGGTGTCAGAAGTTGATGCATCAAATCGGTAAGAGGTGACAGCTATGAGTTTGGCGTCCTGTCACCCTTCCGATCAGTACTAGGCCAGTGACGTCATTACGGTTCATGTCCGGCTGGCGGTGGTGACGGCATGGAGCAAGCCTTGAGGGAACTGGCAGCTCATCTAGGAGTGTGCTCAGGGGGCCCGGGCTCCCATCTGGACGCCAACGACTGGGATTTCCTGGATATTGATATGGAGGATATTGATCTGCGATCGCTGCCCAGCTCCATCATCTGCTGCAACCTGGACACCAGCGTGTTCTATGATGGCCGCTGCAGGGTGAGTGAGAGCCGTGACAGCAACATGTCTGCTGAATGAGGGGGAGGGGAGGCTGTATGTGTGCTGCAGCCTGGATGTGTGTATAGGGGAGTGTACTGTATACCGGGGTGTACTGTATACTGGGGGTGCACTGTGTATAGGGGTGCACTGTAAACTGGGGGGGGCACTTCCCGTACACAGTCCCCCCCACAGGGAGTATATAGTGTGTATTGGGGCACCAGGTGCTATAACATTATTGGGGCTATTATGTATTTTGTGTACACATTTCAGTATTTGGCGTGTAGGTTGGGGAATGAATCTCTACACACATTAGTGTACTTTAGAGTTTTAAATGAATATTTTCAGAACAATTTTGATGTAAATCTGCGCACCTTTTGCACTGCAGTGCACGGTGGGTGCGTTAGCATATAGGTGTGAACGCTCCCCCTAAAACCTTGCTGGGTAAAAGGCATGGGCGGGGCCAGCAGGAATTTGATGGACAGCGGACCCACCTGATCAGAGTGTATGGCTCCCTCCTTCTGGCTGTCGCATCTCTGCACTGTGCGCTGCTCACACCATCCGCAATCTGTGCGTCCCAAGGTTTGAGCTCTCCCCTGTGCAGCTCCCCTACCTGTTATCCAGCTGCTCAGGCTCACTAAGTTGAATGCCGCTTTGTGCAGGTCCAAATTTTTTTTTTTCCACATTTTTTATTTAAAGTGACATTAAAGCCATAAAACTGCCACCCCAATGCTGGTGTAAGGACTTACCTTAAATTATGCCTCTTGATCCGATCTTCTTCTTCCTTCCTGTAGTTTTCAGGAGTCCCTCCAGCGCTGGTGCCGGTCGCTGATCCAGCGCTGACTCCTCTCTCTTCCTGTCCCACGGAGTCTGTGCGGGTGCACGCTGCCTCCATTGACTTAAACTGTGTCTCTCCTCTTCTCCTGGCCGAAGATCTCTACTGCGCATGCGTCCGCCCCCATGATCCTTTGCGGCCGCCCTAGAATCTTCGGATGGGAGCGTGCGGCGGAGACGCAGGTAAGTTTTTTAATCCTTTTGGTAACTTTTTAAAAAATGTTTTTGAATATACCTAAAGTATAGCTGTAGATTTATGCAAAAACACATGCAGGTTTAATTCTACTTTAACAATCAAAATCCACCAAATACAAACAGATTGATGGCTGGCTGAATTGCGATTCTACATTCCAGCCAGTGCGGCTTAGCCTGGCCAGCTTGTCCCACCGCCTGCATTATTCTGATGTGAGCCGCTTCTTACACTTTCCAGCCTCATCCAGTTACCGGGTCTGGCCAGCTTGGCCCGCCACCTTCAACTTCCCAGCAACATCCAGTTACAGGGTCTGGCCAGCTTGGCCCGCCATCTTCAATTTCCCAGCACCATCCAGTTACCGGGTCTGGCCAGCTTGGCCCGCCACCTTCAACTTCCCAGCCCCATTCAGTTACCGGGTCTGGCCAGCTTGGCACGCCACCTTCAACTTCCCAGCACCATCCAGTTACCGGGTCTGGCCAGCTTGGCCCGCAGGGCAGCCATCAGGGGGGTACGGCCGATACTCATGTAAGGGGATCGGGCAGCCTGGGGGGCCCGCCTTGGTCCCTTACATGACTATCGGCCGACGGTGAAGGGCGAGGAGGCGGAGGCCTGGCCCTAGCAGCGCAGGGCCCCAGCATTGCCACTCCAGCGGCTTCGAGACAAGCCCACCTGAGACCACCTCAGAGCCCACCATAGACAGTCTCAGATGGGCTGTGCAGTGTTTATGGTGGGCTCTGCAGGGTCACTCTCAAGTGGGTCCTGTGTTCAGCGCATCACTAAGCCCTGCGTCCAGCGGGGGGGGCCCGGCCTAAAGCCGTGTAAGGGGCCCCAACATTTCTGATGGCTGCCCTGTTGGCCCGCCACCTTCAACTTCCCAGCACCATCCAGTTACCGGGTCTGGCCAGCTTGGCCCGCCACCTTCAACTTCCCAGCACCATCCAGTTACCGGGTCTGGCCAGCTTGGCCCGCCACCTTCAACTTCCCAGCACCATCCAGTTACCGGGTCTGGCCAACTTGGCCCGCCACCTTCAACTTCCCAGCGCCATCCAGTTACCGGGTCTGGCCAGCTTGGCCCGCCACCTTCAACTTCCCAGCACCATCCAGCTGCTCATCTACCATGCCGGCCATGACAAGTTCCTCACTTGCCCAGAGCAATTCAGCCGGCTATTAATCAGCCATTACAGACCACCAGAGAGCTGATCATTGTAACACACAACAGGACAACCATATTCAAGCTAAAGCAACCCTTTCATCTCTAATCACAGCAATACATCGCTTAAAGGACGTTAAACATGAGTGCCATTCTACTTCCATTAACTCCATTGTTCACGGTTTTGTTTTGCAACACTCAGCCAGCAATCGAGTTCTCATTGCCAGTGATTCCGTTGGTTGGGGCGCTCCTCTGTTGCATTCTTTTTTGTCTGATTATACCAAGGACCTGTTGCCAGAAGGGCTTGTTTAATGGGCAGAACAGAGGGGGTCCCGGACCAGCGGGGGTCATGATTTTATATGTGATTTCTTGCTATCTATTACAAATTGATGCTTTGCCAGCAAAGAATACAATCCGGTTGATTTGATCTTTTGAGAATTTGTCTGTGAAGGTTCTCATTCATCCGGGTCATGGTATATCTGTAAAAAAATAAGTCAAGGCAACTGGACTTGATGTATTGTTGTTCTTAAAGATGTTTCACTGGACATCCAACCAGCTTTCTACATTCAGAATGACTTGTACAAAAAATTATCTGGGAATATATCTGGTGAATTTTGTTCCAATCCACATAATCTGTTAGTCACCACCAGGTGTTGATTGCATTGGCATAATTGGAGTCTAGGAGGTGTTAAAGGAGAACTATGAGGTAAGTGCTTTTCACTCACCTCATAGTTCTAGCCGACCTGTGACAATGAGACTGTCACAGGCCGGCTCAGTAGATCAGGAGGTGAGCGAACACATACCAGGTTCGCTCACCTCTCGATCCTGTCACGGCTCTCTGCCATGACAGGGGGAGGGGCTGGATTCCCCTCTCCCCGCTCCGATCTGCCAGCGCTGACTGGCGGAACGGACGGGGGAGGGGGCGGGTACAGCTGGCTCTGCCTCTAGATAGGCAGAGCCAGCTGTCACTCACATAGCTGGGCGGATCCCGTCATCTACGTCGGGATCCGCTCCGGCTGCGGCGTCTCAGTATACCGCAAGCTGTAGCTCGCCGTATACTGCGCTTAGGGTAACGGGAGGACGCTAGTTTGTGTCCCCCCGGTACCCTAAGGAGAACTATGGGGAAAAACACTGACCCCATAGTTCTCCTTTATTAAACTGCCCATTTTATAGCTACCAATGTATCTCTATCTCTCTATCTCAAACGATTGATAGAAGATGTCAAACGATTTGAATGATTGATGGAAGATGTCAAATCCTCTAGTCTTCTGATGTCAATTATCGATTGATTGATAGAAGATGTCGATGAAAGATATCAAATGATTGATGCTGAGGCTTCTTTATAAGGAAAATGGATTGTAAGACACTGAACACCTTTTGTTTGTATGCACATGGAATGTATTCAGCTTCAGTCGGCCTTTAAAGGAGACCAGAAGTGAGACGGTACATAGGCAGTCATGACTAAACCTTCTTTGAAATGCGGGTGGTTCAGATATTATGTGGAGCATTGGGTTCACCGAGCCAGAACAAATAAGAAGACCAGGAGTTCTGACTTCACTAACTGAGTGCTTGTTTCAGGTCTGTGAGTTGGAAAGTACTGATGCCAAACACAGCCAGGGAATGAGCATTTTTAAAAGGAAATTGACAATAGCAGCCCCTGGATTCCTCTCAGTAGAAGTTTCCTTTCAGTTGTTCATAGTACTGTTGTCGTTTGTGTGTTATGCAAAGTTCTTCCTGTAGAGGGCATCATCCACCTAACATATTTAGAGGTATATACAAAGCCATATGCAGGAAAAAGTTTTCACCTCAGATACACTTTAAAACCCAGTTGCACTCTCCCCGCCCCCTCCCGTATGTATTTCTAATTGGGTATATTTTTTAAAAAGGCATTCCTATTTCCAGAAGTTTTAAGTTTGGTCATGTGACACCACTGGGTCATCTTGCTCTTTGCCTTTTCCCGTATGCCCCAACTGTTTTTTGAATTTAGATCTTGGGACTGTTCCAGGATTTGTACTAAATCCTGGTGTCTCATGAGCCCACCTCTTGTCCCGGTGCCAGGTGCTGGAACATTCATTCTAGTACCCTATGCCAGTCTCTGACTTCTTGCGAGCATGACGCGTGCAGAGGAGAGTGGGGAACGTCTACATGGGTATGTCTTTGTTATGTAATGCTCTTCCTGTAGAGGGCATCATACACCTAACAACATATTTTGAGGTATGCTTCAGTCAAAGTATGTCTAAAGCTGAAAGGTTTTTTTGTTGTTTTTTTTTTTTTTAAAGATATGGATGAAGTAGGTAAATGTTTGTATTGGGGTCTCCACTTTCTAATTAAAGGGCCAGTTTACTGACTTTAACAGGACCAGACTGTGGTCAATGGGAGTAGAAAATGCCTCAGCATTGGTGGTTAGAGTAAATAATCCACCTGGCTTGGTGGTCAGTCATATTGCGCCATTGTTGGTGTCAGTGGGGGGAAGGCATAGTGCCCTCCTGTTGCCAGTGGGAGGAATAGTGCCCCATCATTGGTGTAACTGGGAGGAATAGTGCCCCATCATTGGTGTCAGTGAAAGGAGGAACAGTGCCCTATCATTGGTGTCAGTGAGAGGAGGAACAGTGCCCCATGATTGGTGTCAGTGAGAGGAGGAACAGTGCCCCATGATTGGTGTCAGTGAGAGGAGGAACAGTGCCCCATGATTGGTGTCAGTGAGAGGAGGAACAGTGCCCCATGATTGGTGTCAGTGAGAGGAGGAACAGTGCCCCATGATTGGTGTCAGTGAGAGGAGGAACAGTGCCCCATGATTGGTGTCAGTGAGAGGAGGAACAGTGCCCC